TATGGCCTCCGCCCCTCTTCTTCTTATTCTTCTTCTTTTTCTTCTTCGTTGTTGTTGTTGTTGTTGTGCAGGTCGCCAGTGTGGAGCACGGCTATAGCGCCCAGTTAAGTACCGCTGACGCAGGTATGTGTTGTTGTTGTTGTTGCTGTGCAGGTCGCCAGTGTGGAGCACAGCTATGGCGCCCAGTTAAGTATTGCTGACGCAGGTTTAGCCTCCGCCCCTCTTCTTCTTCTTCTTCTTCTTCTTCTTGTTCTTCTTCTTCATCTTCTTCTTTTTCTTCTTCTTCTAAACAACCGGTTGTTATTTGATAAGTTTTTTAATGATTTAATAGCTAAATCATTTTGACGTTTTGGGTATGAAGTTTGTTTGGAAACTTTAGACAAAGGTGCTATTTTCGTTTTGGGTCCTTATGGGATTTCCACCACATTTCGAAAATTAGCAAAGCAAATAAGTAGACTTCAAAGTGGCTTTGTGAACTATTATGCTTTTGTTGTTTTTGTTGTTGTTGTTGTTCTTCTTCTTCTTCTTCTTCTTCTTGTTCTTGTTCTTGTTCTTCTTCTTCTTCTTCTTCTTCTTCTTCTTCTTCTCCTGGTTGTTGTTGTGTTTGTTGTTGTTGTTGTTGTTGTTGTTGTGCAGGTCGACAGCGTGGAGCACGGCTATGGCGCCCAGGTACCAGTGTGGAGCACGGCTATGGCGCCCAGGTAAGTACCGCTGACGCAGGTATGGCCTCTGCCCCTCTTCTTCTTCTTTTTTTTCTTCTTCTTCTCCTTCTCCTCCTTCTCCTACCTCCTCCTCCTCCTTCTTCTTCTTCCCCTTCCCCTTCCCCTTCCCCTTCCCCTTCCCTTCTTCTTCTGGTTGTGGTTGTGGTTGTGGTTGTGGTTGTTGTTGTGGTTGTTGCTGTTGTTGTTGTTGTTTTTGTGCAGGTCGACAGCGTGGAGCACGGCTATGGCGCCCAGGCACCAGAGTGGAGCATGGCTATGGCACCCAGGTAAGGACTAAGGGGTGTATGTTGATGGTTCAATATGTTTGTGTGATTATTGGATTATTCCATATGTTTTTGTAAAAAAGAAAGATTTTCCGGGTGGGTGTTCTGGGAGTGATGATCACTGAGAGGCTCAGGTACATTCTTAGAAAATGCAATGTGCAAGGTTTTTTGGGTTCAGCCTAGCTCTGACATGTGAGGGGGTATGTTGCTTTGGCACGATGCCTTCTGTGTTATAGGCGAAAGTTTGTCTGCTCCGAAGGTGATCTCCTCTCACATGTTAGACTGGTGGCATGACTAGCCATCACGTCTCGGCGACGGAGGAGGGTAGGGAGAGTGCCGGGTGGGTACGGAAAAAACTCTCAGCAGGCTTGATCATCCCGTCGTTCATTACCCATGGGGGGTAGTGCAAAATGTGTTGTTAGGATTTTATGGTGCCAAGTTCAACCTTCACCTATAATGCCAAACGTGTCGTGCCAAGCCAATACTCCCCCTCACATGTTGGAGCTACACCGGGCCCAAAGAACCTTGCATATCGTATGTTCTGAGAATATTCCGATACTCTCACTTATCATCACACTCCTACAGCGCCCACCCCTCTTTCTTCTTCTTCTTCCTCTTCTTCTTCTTCCCCTTCTTCTTCCCCTTCTTCTTCCCCTTCTTCTTCTGCTCCTCCTTCTCCTCCTCCTCCTCCTCCTCCCCCTTCTCCTCCCCTTGCCTTCCCTTCCCCTTCCCCTTCTTCTTCTTCTTCTTCTTCTTCTTCTTCTTCTTCTTCTTCTTCTTCTTCTTCTTCTTCTCCTCTTCCTCGTCCTCGTCCTCCTCCTCCTCCTTCCCCTTCCCCTTCTTCCCCTCCTTTTTTTTTTTTTCTCTCCTTTTTCCGTTTCTTCTATAANCGACAATTCCCGAAACAAAAAAACAAGAAATCGAAAAACAAAGAAAGCCTTTTTGCAAGCGGGGAGGGAGGGAGGGAGGGAGGGAGAGAGAGAGAGAGAGAGAGAGTTAGAATGAGTAAAGAGTTCGAATGAATCTTACCGCTTTCAGGCGGAAGATTCATGTGCAATCCGCAGCATTCGAACACACAAATACAAGAGAGAGAGAGAGAGAGAGAGAGAGAGAGAGAGCCCCGGCGACTTTGTCGCATGGCTCCGTGCATGTCGCCGGGCCTCTCTCTCTCTCTCTTTGCCGGGCCTCTAGTCTCCACATTCAAGATTCGAATGAATCTCCCCGCTTCCACGGGAAGATTCATTCTCATTTTCCGAAATCGCTAACGGAGCGATTTTGGAAAATGAGAATGAATCTTCTCCTCCTCCTTCCCTTCCCTTCCCCTTCTTCTTTTTCTTCTTCTTCTTCTTCTTCTTCTTCTTCTTCCTCTTTTTCTTCTTCTTCTTCTTCTTCCTCTTTTTCTTCTTCTTCTTCTTCTCCTCCTCCTCCTCCTCCTCCTCCTCCTCCTTTCCCTTCCCCTTCTTCTTCTTCTTATTCTTCTTTTTCTTCTCCTCCTCCTCCTCCTCCTCCTCCTTCTTCTTCTTCTTCTTCTTCTCCTCCTCCTCCTCCTCCTCCTCCTCCCCCTTCCCCTTCCCCTTCCCTTCTTGTTGTTGTGGTTGTTGTTGTGGTTGTTGTGCAGGTCGACAGCATGGAGCACGGCTATGGCGCCCAGGTACCAGTGTGGAGCACGGCTATGGCACCCAGGTAAGTACCGCTGACGCAGGTATGGCCTCCGCCCCTCTTCTTCTTCTTCTTCTTCTTCTTCTTCTTCTTCTTCTTCTCCTCCTCCTCCTCCTCCTCCTCCTCCTCCTTCTCCTCCTTCTCCTCCTTCTTCTTCTGGTTGTGGTTGTTGTGGTGCTTGTTGTTGTTGTTGTTGTGCAGGTCGACATCGTGGAGCACAGCTATGGCGCCCAGGTACCAGTGTGGAGCACGGCTATGGCCCCCAGGTAAGTACCGCTGACGCAGGTATGGCCTCCGCCCCTCCTCTTCTTCTTCTTCTTCTTCTTCTTCTCCTTCTCCTTCTCCTCCTCCTCCTCCTCCTCCTCCTCCTTCTATTTCTTCCCCTTCCCCTTCCCATTCCCCTTCCCCTTCTCCTTCCCCTTCCCCTTCTTCTGGTTGTGGTTGTGGTTGTTGTTGTTGTTGTTGTTGTTGTTGTTGTTGTTGTTGTTGTTGTGCAGGTCGACAGCGTGGAGCACGGCTATGGCGCCCAGGTACCAGAGTGGAACACGACTATGGCGCCCAGGTAAGTACCGCTGACGCAGGTATGGCCTCCACCCCTCTTCTTCTTCTTCTTCTTCTTCTTCTTCTTCCACTCCTTCTTCTTGTGGTTGTTGTTGTTGTTGTTGTTGTTTTGCAGGTCGCCAGTGTGGAGCACGACTATGGCGCCCAGTTAAGTACCACTGATGCAGGTATGTGTTGTTGTTGTTGTTGTTGTTGTGCAGGTCGCCAGTGTGGAGCACGGCTATCGCGCCCAGTTAAGTACCGCCGACGCAGGTATGTTCTCTTCCCCTCTTCTTCTTATTTTTCTTTTTTTTCTTCTTCGTTGTTGTTGTTGTTGTGCAGGTCAGCAGTGTGGAGCACGGCTATGGCGCCCAGTTAAGTACCGCTGACGCAGGTACGTGTTGTTGTTGTTGTGCAGTTTGCCAGTGTGCAGCACGGCTATGGCACCCAGTTAAATACCGCTGACGCAGGTATGGCCTCCGCCTTTTCTTCTTCTTCTTCTTCTTCTTCTTCTTCTTCTTCGTTGTTCTTGTTCTTGTGCACGTCGCCAGTGTGGAGCACGGCCTTGGCGCCCAGTTAAGTACCGCTGACGCAGGTATGTGTTGTTGTTGTTGTTGCTGTGTAGGTCGCCAGTGTGGAGCACAGCTATGGCGCCCAGTTAAGTATCGCTGACGCAAGTATGCCCTCCGCCCCTCTTCTTCTTCTTCTTCTTCTTCTTCTTCTTCTTCTTCTTCTGGTTCTGCTTCTTCTGCTTCTTCTTCTTCTTCTTCTTCTTCTTCTTCTTCTTCTTCTTCTTCTTCTTCTTCTTCACAACCGATTGTTATTTGACAAGGTTTTAAATGATTTCATACCTAAATCATTTTTACGTTTTGGGTATGAAGTTTCTTTGAAAACTTTAGACAAAGGTCCTATTTTCGTTTTGGGTCCCTATGGAATTTCCACCACATTTTAAAAATTAGCAAAGCAAATAAGTAGATTTCAAAGTGGCTTTGTGTACGATTATGCTTTTGTTGTTGTTGTTGTTGTTGTTGTTGTTGTTGTTCTTCTTCTTCTTCTTCTTCTTCTTCTTCTTCTTCCTCTTCTTCTTCTTCTTCTTCTCCTCCTCCTCCTCCTCCTTCTTCTCCTCCTCCTTCTGGTTGTGGTTGTTGTTGTGGTTGTTGTGCAGGCCGACAGCGTGGAGCACGGCTATGACGCCCAGGTACCAGTGTGCAGCACGGCTATGGCTCCCAGCTAAGTACCGCTGACGCAGGTATGACCTCCGCCCCTCCTCTTCTTCTTCTTCTTCTTCTCCTGGTTGTTGTTGTGGTTGTTGTTGTTGTTGTTGTGCAGGTCGACAGCGTGGAGCACGGCTATGG